GGGGTGATGGGTATTGAAGAGGGCACCTGTTGGGATGAGCACTGGGTGTTGTATGGAAACCAATTTGACAATAAATTTCATATATTTTAAAAAAAAAAGTGGGTACCATATTATTAATGCAGGTCCTTCAGATCCTAATGCTGTTTCCACTATACAATTGTGCCCCCAAAGTAGAAAAAAAAAAGATGAAGGAAGGGTTCTCTCTTTATGGGTTTTTCCCATAAAGATTTTTTCAAATTCCTCATGAGTTAAAAGTATTTATTAAATGTTTATTGAATGGCTACTATACCAATTTTCGGTGCTGGGAAGAAATATGAATCAGACTGAGTCAGTAGCTAGGTCATTACAAATTTTCCCATATATTTAAATACCCAAAACTCTTCACTCTATATTGAGAGTCGCAACCAAATTCAACCACCTAGTCGAAAGCTCCGGTTTCATGTTGTATAAACCTTTGCAATTTGCCATGTCTGGAACTGAACTCTCAAATTTTTTTCTACAATTATGTTCAAATCTCAGCCTTCACCAGCTCAGGAAAGAGCACCACCATACACCCCAACAACTTATCATATTCAGAAGCCTATATTTATCTAAAAAATATATCTTAATCCTATTTACTTATCCTTACTTTCATTACCCCCAGACTTCTGACTGGTATCTTCATTTTCATTTTTGGATTGCCTTGATTTCAGCTCCATATATAAACTGCAATGTCCCATTAGAACGTAAAATACTTCAATATCTACTGTTTTTATAATAAAATGTAAACCTTTCATGCTACACAGGGTTCCCACATCCCTTGTTCTGTTTAACACATTTGTGTGTCTGTTGCCTTCACGTAACTAGTGACAGAGCCTTCTTTCACTCTTAAAAATGTCCCAGCTGGATGATACATTACATGGTCACCATATCTATACAGCTCTTGTGGAATCTTTCCTCTGCCTAAATTTTCATCCCATAGCCAAATATTCTCCCTCAGGATTCAATGGTGTCTACCTTAAATGTGCTCTGTAATTATTTTTCGTCAAAATGTGAACCCAAGCATTAAGTATAATACTATACTTAATTGTTTTATCTGTTGGCTATTCTGGCCATTAGAGTATACAAAGACAACCAGGCCCGTGTCCACGTTGTTTGCCCCTAGACAATTCAGGCAGCATAGTACCTGATACATGGAAGGTGTCTATAGATGTTTATTAAAAAGATTAATGACTAAAGAAACTTGCCATACAGTCAATCATATACACTACATAGTATAAAACTTGAATAATAAAAATGTGTTCAAGATACCAATGACCAAACAAATGCAGAAATTGTTTCTGTTTGGAGAAAAAGGTTGAGTAGGGAAGGTTCTGTAAGCAGAGGAACCCAATCAGCATTGATGGATGAAAGGACCATCGTATGTGATCAAGAAGCTATGAGGAAAGATTTCTAAGCAGAAAGGATGGCATTCACAAAGGCAAAATGGTTTAAAACAGTGCAATTATTCAGGGAACTCAAAGTAGTTTCTATTATTAGAGTGTACAGCTTTGCATAAATGATATATTGATGTCATGAATCTCTAAGGACAAAACCTAAATTATGAAGAATACTGCAGGAAACATAGAAAACAGCAAAGAAATTTGAAACTTAGTTTTATTCTCATTTATACTGCTAGAATGATTTGAGAATTTCTATTGCATGTTTAGCTCACCGTATAATTTATTGGAGTTCTTAGGTAAGTAAATCAATTTTTGAAGAGTTGTGTTTCAAACTTCATTACTGTAAAAAATTCTCTAAGTTGTCAGTTCAACATGTAATAGTAACAAAAATATAATACATGGTCCATAATGAAACTATAATGGAATTTATGGTATGAAAACTAAACTGGACTTTCCCTTTAGATAAGTTTTGGAATTTTAAGAATTACTTCAAATTTCTACTCTAGGAAATGAATTTTTATTCATTCATAGGCTGTAAAAAGAAATAGACTAGAATTACTAAATTAACACTTTGGCATCTATCTAATACAAATGCAAAGATGAACACATCTATAGAATTAACTGAACATTAGGTCAATTTGTGATGTAAATAGAGGTTTAAATAGAGAATTAAAACTCATTTCACATCTATTTATCCCGGAGAAAATTTTCAAGAAATATTCTTGGTATAGGTGATCATAAATGGGTTATTTGAATGTAAAACATGGACACCAGAAATTTCACACCAGTGGACTGCAAGGCATAAATGCTTTGTTTGGTTTCTAGAACACTTCAGCAGTTTGAGCCAAGATTTAAATTTGGAGAAGTCACATAAAAAAAAAAAAATCCAGAATTTTGGCCCCTTGGAAACACTGGAAGAACACATAACAATGGTGGAAAAAAACATAGTCCTTTCAGAGGGCAATGGTGTTCTCTAGGTCACCACAGAGCCCCCACCCCATCACCTCAGGTCCTGAGATCCATGCCACTTCCATATGCATGTTACATGCCTGAGACGGTGTGCCAGGCTGAAAAACCCCAACCATTAAAGACTAACTGAGAATTATCAAAATGTCTAGGAGGATATTTAGAACTTGATCATTTCTAATATTGAGAATTAAATGTACATACTATCTTAATAAAATTGTCTAAAATGGGATAATTCTTATATTCAATCTTTTCTTTCTTGGATTTTGTTTGTTAATTAAACTATATCAAAACAAACAAAAAGCTAAACAAATTTGGTAGAACATTTTTTTTCTTCTGATCAGTAATCTATTTGTTTTGGCATCTGGTTAACATAACACAAATAGCAGTAAAAATTCCCCAAATATATAAGTATATCATGTGTTTGATCTGTGATTTGAATGCAAATACTTCCCTACATCTTTCAATATAGCACAAGTAATTTGTTTTATTTAAATATACTGAAAGACTTGACATATTTTCAGTATCCATACTATTCTAGATTAGGAGATAAGAGAGGAGAGTCATTTCCATCAAAAGTGATGGGAACTTACCTTAGCTATTTGGACACACCAGTTAAGCAGTAGCTGGGATCCAATGTTATCCTTATGTTCATGGACATAATCCAACAGGCAGCCATGGGGCATAAGCTGTGTAACCAGTTGAATGGTTGGGCTCAGACACACACCCAATAACCGGACTAAGTGTGGATGGTCCATACTTGCCATGATCAAAGCTTCCTATTAAAAAAAAAAAATTAAATGTAATTTCAACTCAAATTCCTTTATAGCACTCACTACATTAATGGTGCTGATAGTAATTTTGAAAATGTACTCTTATTCAATGGAATCCATTAAAAATGAAAAGGCATTATTGCAGCTATTATATTTTTAAAGTGATTTAATTCAAGTAAATTTAAGTGAAAAAAACAAGGACTATACATTTATTAAGATGGACAATGTTATAAAATTAAATGAATATAAAATTACTATTAGTGTTTTGTCTTTTGTAGTATGAACAATATTTGATTTTATTTACTACTAAGTAAGTTGATGAATCTTGACTTATACCATGGATTTTTAACTTTTGATTTTGGTTCTGGAGTACAATACTCCATACGAATGTAATTATTTGTACATAGTACAAGGTGAACCAAAGGTAAGTCATCTGTTATTAGTGTGGAGTCAGATAGAATACACAGGTATAATTATTAAATTATAAATATCAAAACTTAAACAATTACAAGCACTATGCCCATTGGGGATTTATGTAGAAAAATAAACCTTTAAATTTGCTCCATACATTTGCCTTTATTCAATTCTACTTCATTTCCAAATTTATAAGTCATGTATTAGTTATAGAATCATAAAATATAATAGCTGAGTGAGACCATGAAAACTTGTCTACTCCAACTTTATCATTTCATGAAATGAGAAAATAGCTCTAATTTCTTTATCATAATCATGTCATTTTTGTTTAATGAAGATTGGACATATGATAGTCATTTAGTGCATCTTAAAGTTACTCTCCAATAAAGTTATTTTAAGTATCTTTACTACAATTTAAAACAAATAGGACCTTCCATGCATGTGCACACACACATGCACACACACACACACAAGGGGGATGGCACAGATGTGACAATTTATTATCAATTAGTGTACCTACTTTGAGGCTATGAGAATGTTTATATTAGCATTCTTGTATATCTTCTGTGACTTTGAAATTTTTCTTTTTTTTTTTTTTTTTTTTTTTTTTTTTTTTAAATTTTTTTTTTCAACGTTTATTTATTTTTGGGACAGAGAGAGACAGAGCATGAACAGGGGAGGGGCAGAGAGAGAGGGAGGCACAGAATCGGAAACAGGCTCCAGGCTCTGAGCCATCAGCCCAGAGCCTGACGCGGGGCTCGAACTCACGGACCGCGAGAACGTGACCTGGCTGAAGTCGGACGCTTAACCGACTGCGCCACCCAGGCGCCCCTGAAATTTTTCAAGACTAAAAATGGAGGACAGAAAGCTCTACTGATCTATTATTTAAGATGACATGGAAAATCGAATAAACAAATTATTTCCATTTCCTCTCATTTCCACTACATTAACAATAAGGGCATTAATAAAGAGGCAGAAACCAACAATCATAAAAAGGAGGCAATAAAGATAGAATACAGAGTAGAATGTGGCTTAATAGTAGTAACTAAATTAACAGACATAAGACATCCGAAGCTTAATGTAGCAGGTAGGGAAACTGAGAAGAAATCCAATTTACACCACGTGTGTCACCACCAAAGGCTCAAGTAGTGTTAGTGCCTCAAATCTGTGCAAATGGAACAGGGAGGAGAAACTGACTTCAGTAGGACCGTTTCAAAGTGTGTTTTGGAGGCACTTCAGACAGCAGATCTCCTCCTCTTTTTCGTCTTTGGGAGAAGCTAAATCAAAAGGATTGTGGACAAAAAAAAAAAAAAAAAAAAAAAAAGGATTGTGGACTACGGCTATTAGGCAAAATAGAAAGAGAAGTACTCTGGTGAAAATAATAAGATTATGTAAATTTATATATAGGGAAAATTGGGGCCACTTCTAGTTCCTTTTCCCAAATGGAGCTGTGACTTCGAAATTCTGAAACTTAAATTGTTTAAACCTCAAATTCCAAAGCCAGCAAAAATTCAACCAAGGGAGTGGATATACACACATGTTCAGCCATGCTTGTTCTTAAAGAAATTTCTCTCAGATGCCTCCTTTCTCTGTTAGCTGTGCTCACTAAATAAGAGGAAGCAATTAAAAGACTACATTGAATTGAGGAAACAGAATAACGACAGTGAAGGGATATTTCAGAATAAAAGCTGTTCAAGAGACCGAGATAGCAGTCAGTCCAGACTTGAGTGGGCATATTGCTCTGAAAAAGGTGACCCAAGAAGATGGAGATGATAGAATACCTAATGACTTTAAAATACATTAAGAGCATATATATTTATCAGAAACCGAAATTCAAATTAGTGATCAATGCACAGAAAACTAAGCAAAAATAAAATGAAGCAATTGATTTGGTAAAACACAAAGATATCCATGAAAAAGAAAATCATTGTACTCGCTATAGAGCATGGCAGGGAATAGTTGTAGAAACATAATGACATAAGTACAAATGCTGATATATGCAGACATCATATAACTATATTGAAAACTGAAGGGAAGGGAGGTGTACCTCTGCAAGGGGGTGATAGGAAGAAAGTGAAAGGTACATTCCTGTTGTTCCTAGTGACAAGTTAGCATATGATGCATAAAATGGAAAAATCAAGAGTTGACAGTGTTAGCATATTATTTAGATATAGAGTTAAGTGAAAAAATAAATTGCTGAGAAGCTGAAAGTGATTGTTTTGGGCTGTGGAAAATGAGTAGGAAAAGGAATGGAGGGTCACTCTAGACTTCTGTCTTTTACTATTCGCCTTGTAGAAGTATTTGACTTACTATTATTACTTTAAAGCTATTTGAGAAGACATTAACTTAAAAAAATTTTTTAATGTTTATTTATTTCTGAGACAGAAAGAGACAGAGCATGAGTGGGGGAGGGTCAGAGAGAGAGGGAGACACAGAATCTGAAGCAGGCTCCAGACTCTGAGCTGTCAGCACAGAGCTCGAAGCGGGGCTCGAACTCACACACCATGAGATCATGACTGGAGCCGAAGTCAGTCATTCAACCGACTGAGCCACCCAGGCGCCCCAAGACATTATTAACTTTTAAACTCCACTGCTACTTTAGTGGTGTTGAATTCAGCTGAGTCTAAAGATGATTCACAATTACGTGTATATCTGATGGAGTATATGAATTTACTGGATCTAGCTAGGTTCTTAGTCAAGTATAATGTTTCACTTTTATGAGTGAGGAACTGTGGGGCAGAATGGGCACCTGTCTTTGAGAAAGAAGATATATAAGGCCAAACAGAAAAAAAGTAAGCTGATAAAATACTACCAGCCCAACTCAAAAGACTGTTTTGAGTCTTTGTGGGCAGAAGCAGAAATTGCTGTTTTCCGGATGGCTTCTGAGTAGATGCTGACATTCCTCCTTCCTCAGCAGCCCCAGGCAACCAGAAGCATAGAACAGGGGAGGACACCGGCTTCTATGCTTCCTTGCTGAGCCTGTCACCACAACAATGCCTTGAGGACTAGCAGCCCAGAGAGCACTGAGTAGTTTATAGGTACGTATGAGACACTCAGCAACTGCCCAAACTATTTGGGGAAATTTCTCTGGTGGCTGGAGTTTCTGCATAATGAGCAGGGCCACAAATTTGAGTCATTACTATGAATATGGCCCCATCTGGGTCCAAAAAAGTAGAAACATTTTGGTTTCACTTATTGTATATTTTAAACATTTGAAAACATTTAAAACATTAGTAAACATTTGAAATAAAGGAAATCAATGTAGTTATAAGGAGAATACAGATAGGAATGTTAGCAAGTAATATTACCTATTATTTAATCCAGTATTGTTATTCATTAATTAAATATTAACATTAATATTGAAAGTGTAAACCACAGGGTTCCTTCACTGAATTATGATATGCACACATATAAATACACACATATACACCAACAAATAAGCAGAACATGTAATCAAATTAAATAGCAAATTTAATCAAGCACAAAATTAGATATTATCTAATTACATCAAATTTATATTGATTGCATTTTCTCTATTTCTCTTCTAGTGGCTTTCAGTCTTTCATGAGCATGAGTTGCCTAGGTTTGTCATTACAAGTAGTTATCCTGGTCCCACTCCCAGATAATCCAGTCTAGAAATTGATCATAAAGCTGCATTTGTAGCAAGCTCTCCAGGTGAAGCTACTGTAGGAAATAGGGAAATTGAGGACCTCTGAAACATTGCCAAGAAATGTATCTAGAATCCATTGCAAAAGTAGTAACTTGCAACTGTGGTTTGATCCTCATTATAAGCCTACTAGCAGTCAAAGGAGGCAGTGATTCTCAGCTATAAAAGGAGAAAGCCAAGGCTGGTGGGCTTACTGCCTCAGGTCTTATGATAACTGGCAGATCAGGGTTAAGACTCCTGATTTCTGATTCTTAGTGCAGTGCTATTTCTTCTGATACTGTACTTTTAAATTTTCACTTCCATCAGCACCTCTCTCTGTAGATGCTTATCTTGTTAAGAGGAAGACAGCTCCAAACACCTGATATCAGTGGTACCTGAAGAGTTGGGTCAAATTATACCTAAGTTCCTGAAGAAACACTAAGATCAACCAACAAATTCGCACTAACAGGTAAACTGCCATTGCATACAATGCGCTTTCAGAAAGCATGAGGAAGAAAATGATGAAGTTTAAGGTAAAAGAACAATTTCGAGGTTATTTTAGGCTTCTTTTTCAGGATAAAATATATAAACGATGTTTTTTCTTTTACAACTCAAGGAGTAATGATAATTTCATTCTACATATGCATGCAAAAAGTTTACATCAGAAGAGTGTAAAAAAGTCACATGAAAGTTTTCTTTTAAAAAAAATCTATTAGTAAGTCCTGGCAAAAAAGCTGGGGTTGTATTAAGGAAAATTGCTCATCACACTACAAAGAGTATTTGAAACCAAATTGCAGAGTATTTGCATAATAGTTCTCTTTTTTTGAGAAAGAAAAGATGAACAAGACACTAATTGTAGGTTTTATTTTTTTCATAAAGGAAATAGCAGATGGCTTTTTTGGGGGATAGGAAAAGAGATAAAGAAAAGAGAATGTGGATTCATTTA